TGAAATGATTCAAAACTAAAGTAACGAGACAATTATTAAAAATGTAAGGAGTAGAAAGTACAGATATTCTGTAAAAATGTAAGGAGTAGAAGTAAAAAGTCGCCATAAAAATAAGTAGTAAAGTAAAGTAAAAATATCAGAAAAATCTACTTGAGTGCAGTAACGAAGTATTTGTACTTCGTTACTTTCCATCTCTGGCGGGGTGTCTGAATCACTTGAGGGAGGCGTTATAGAGATTGATGACCACAGGTAGGAATTATTTCCTGTGGCGCTCTGTGGTGCATCTGGGTAGGAGCTGCTGAAGGAGCTCGTCTGCTGCATCCATGTATAATAAATATGAAAACATTAAGAATATGTTTAAAATGTCCCTTTTCGTTCATATTTCAATCTATTTTTTCATCACTTGGCTTGAGTTTAGGGCAATGCGTGCTCCCCCGACAGGGGAGGTTATTCTGGCCACAACAATCAAACCTGGAGGAGAGAATGGAAGCAGGGGCGGATTTAAGAAATTTGGGGCCCGAGGCAAAGACAGGGATGGGGCCCTCTGAATTTAAAAGGCAACACATAATACAGAACCATTATAGAGATACAGAAATGGGATGTAAATGTCTGGCCAATGGTCATAAATTAACTGAATGTTGACATCTGACTGCAAAGTGACTTAGTTTGACGGAGCTGTTAGAATAGTTTTAACTCATTCGCTGCCAGCATGTAGCCTAGCTTACTTTAAATTAGCCAATAGAAGCAATACTGGTTTTGTGATAACCAGTCTATTTTAATGAATAAATACTCTAAATGAATATTTGAAAGGTGAGTAAAGTTATTAGATTTTATACGGGCTTATGTCATTTTCAGGCTAATTCTAATGTATTTTAATTTGTAAGCAGTTTTTTTTTTTCAGATTTTGAAAATTATTTCAGCTGTTTCAACTTAATTAATTGAATCTGAATTTTAAAAATACTTGACTTGAAAGGATTCAGATAGTCATTTGGAATGTTTTGTGAGGTTCTGTTCCAAAGCTTAATGGATTCATTGCCAAAAGATTTTCCAAAGTAAAATCCAAGAAGTGTCCTACCATGACTATGAAGCTGATCCCATTGGGACCTACTGTAAGGTGCCTTGGTCAAGGGACTTTCAAGGCTGACATGTAACAACCATACCATGCATAGTGCTTTAGGTTAATAGACTATATTAATTAGGCTATGTATGCTTCCAAAAAAAATCCAACATCCCCCTTCTTTTTGTTTACAACTCGACTACTGGGTATAAAAACTCTTAAATTTGGCTCAGGGCTTTTATATCTAGGTTACCTCTGGATATGTCCTTTGCTTATATCTGTGCTCTAATTAATCATCTTATCCATCAAAGTATACGTACCTTTTATGTATCTGATCATGTATCTTTAAGCCCAGGAACAATCGGCTTTTAGTGGCATTTGGAAAAGCTCACTGGGTCAAAAGACTTGGCAAGATACCGACATTAAAAATCGATTTGGCTCTGATCGGCATGCTATAGGAACACCAGAGCCGTGTTTACGCACTAAATTACATGACACCATTAAACGCAATGTATAGATGTCAACACACCATGATAGTCACTACTGATCTAACATACTCAGATTGTATTCAATAAACATGGAGCATCACTGGTGAGAGGGTTTCGATGAGACAAAAGAGCGAAACGATAAAGAATACTAACTACGCCCTAGCTCCCGTCCATCTTGTTCTCCATTGTTTACTTCCCTGATTTCCGTGGCACTGTCGACATCATCAACACTCACCCAGCATGATGCCGTCTCATCAGACATGCTTTGATGGGGGACAGTGGCCCCGCAGCTTTCCAGCAGGAGGTCAGACTCGGCTTATCGATTAAATGGGAAAGGAACCAAAAGCCGATTGTTTGCGGGTTAACCCGGTTTTGAAAACCCCAGGTTTTCAATGGGAAAGCAGCGTATGTGAAGGCCAGGTCGCATTCATCCGAACTGTACGGCATCAATACTCGACAATTCCAAGCTCTATGCCCTAACCACTAGGCAACCACTCCCTCCTAGAACTGCTCCTTCCTGCACGATGTGTCTACCCAGCAGCTGCCTACGACCAAACAGCCTCCATTGGAAGGACCCGTTGCTCTCTAGAGTTCACTCTGAAAAGTAAGCCTTCTGCAATTATTCCACAGTCTCGTTCTGTTTTAACCCAATGCCCGTTTTTTCAGAGGACCATAACTCCAGTGACACTGACTTTTAAATCTACCCATATCTGCCCTTCACGCTGTTGGTTAAATTGTTAAACCTGATTTTTCGTGTCTTCAGGGAGTTAATCTCTGTATGTGGGTCTGAACAAACCCATGACATTATTTTTCAGGTAAAATAAATCAAAAATCAAGGACTTCTTGTTTCACCTGGGAAACTACTTTTAAAAAATATTCTCCAAACTGTCCCAAAAAGACACATCATAGAAGAGTTTCATATAGAACATAAACAGTTAAAAAACATTTAGATGATTCCAGTTTTTAAACCCATTTACTTAGAAAATAAAAGCATCCTACCTTTAAACCCAGCTGGGTAGTGAGTTTCTATCTTTATGCTGTTTCCTTCAACAAACTGGCAGGTGTATCTTCTGTTGGTGACGCTCTGATGCTGCACAGTTAGAGAGGAAACACAGCTGCTTGGGCTTCTTAACTCGTACCCATCACCTGTACCAGTCAGTTCAGTTCCTTTCTCATCAAACCAGCGGAAACTGTTCTCTGGACAAGGGTTAGACCATCTGTGTCTCTCCAGAGAACACCGTAATGTGACATTTCCATCCTTTATTGGATCAGCAGCTGGTGAAGATGGAGAGACTGAAAGAAAAATTTAAACTGTTCAGAGTCTGAAAGA